ATGAAGAAGTGCTATGTTTGAAAATTTTGTTTAAAAAATATGTACATATTTATATATATTTACATATAAGCGGCTACAATTATGGATGGATATACATATATATATTTACATATATATATAGATATATATACATATATTTGTTTATGTATGTATAAATATATGTATATGTATGTATAAATATGATTGATTATATCTATAATATCAATCATAGCACTTTACTTTTAGGAGCCTTTTATAAATATATACATATAACTGCACATGTACATATACCAAAGTAGCAGTCATTTTCCCCACTGCAATGCTCTCCACCTCTGACCCACAGTATGCTCATTTGTGACCTACTGTTTCTATAAATAAGATATAAGCCTATGGATCAGGATTACTGGGAACATACAAATTCTGCTCACCAAAATGATGTGCCCTGTACATTCATGTTAGTAAACAATAATTACATTTTTGAAAATGTGCTTCACGACCTTTGAACATGATATATTAAAAACAAATTCAGTTGGCAGCTCGATGAGGTCAAGAAGTTTGGCTTTAGGACCTGTGGTACGTTGGACTGCAATGAAGCAGCTTGAGCAGGTCAGATGTGAGGTTCAACATGCATCGTCCAAACACAATCCTCTTAGGCTCCGGTCCAACTTGAAGTACATCTGCATAGATCTAATGAAATGTGTTTTGCTTTAATACTCCTTGTGTAAATCAAAAGATAGATGACCACAAACTGATAATGGAAGGATTACAAGATTCCCTTTCAATTGGACAGAGAGGAAGTACAATGACTTCATACAGAACAAAAGAGATTGGCTCTGGTTTGACCTCTGATTAAATAGTTTGGTTTAATATAGCTGTCAGCTTTCTTGACTTTTAATCAGAGGTCAGACATCTGGCCGCAGACCTTTGATAACATTGCTCTTGGAATCCAGCCATTGGACAATAGAATTAAATCTCTGAATTTGATCAAATCATCAGTGATTAACTAAATAAGCTTTGTTGTTAATCTGGGAAACGGGGATTTGTTGGATTGGATACACCAGGCTTGTTGATAAGTTATAAACGTCTCCAGTGGGATCGTATGTGTGTGTACAGTATGAGATCACCCACCGGCACCCGCTCTAGTTTTATATGCTTTCATCTTGATGAGATGTTGGATTGTTGTCTTCTTTGTTTAGGCCCCAGACACTCGAGGGTTATCAAAATGATTAATGGTTACTTTTCTAATGTTTCCAGGTGTTTTTTTCTGTTGTGGCTTCTACCATGTTCTTAAGGAATTATAAAATAAAGATTGTTGAATTCCATTGACTTCAATGTTACAACATTATCTCCTCTTCCACAGCTTGAATGAGTTACATTTCCCCATTAAGTTAAGGGAAAAGGCCAGGGCATCTCTCCGACTCTCAGACAAAAGTCTGGTCACTTTAAAATATTATATCATATTATCATATATACGATTATATTATTACACATGTCACACAACCCTGTAATTTTTCTGACTTGTTCGTGGGATGATGATATGTGTAGCACCAAAATTTCATCACACTACCCCTGAATACTTGTGAAGAATTTCCTTAATAAAATCTCCATAAATTCTCCAAGGAAATATGTGAAGATAGAAATTGATCTCACGGCACATTTATATCAAATTAATTTGTCAGCTTTTCAGAATTGCTGCTACTTTTTGCTGACAAGTGGTGGTTCTGTGCTCATTTTCCATAATTGTGGATGAGTGCATGAGCATTTTTTTTATTTTAGTGCAAAAGAAAAAAATCACCAGTAAGCATAATCCATTATTGGTGTTAACAACATAGATCATCCCCCCACGTCCTGTTTGCTCTTTTCTGACGCAGCTCTGCACCGGAAGGGTGATGCAGACACTTAAATCCTCACATGCCAACCCTGTAGAATATGTCTGGAAAATGTCAGGACTGTAGTGCACGTGTGAAAGAGGCAACATAAATTATATTGTGTACTTACAGCATCAATAAATGCCCAGTAATGTTTTTTTTTGTTGCAAATATGGCTGTTTCTATATGTTCCTAGATGTATATGCATATGCATTTGTATTTTGCAGACTCAAAATGTTATATTTCAGCTTGTTTTTTGTTTCTATTTTTTTAAATTAAATCACACACATACACACACACACACACACACACACACACACACACACGCACATACACGTACATATATATGTATATACATATATATATATATATATATATATATATATATATATATATATACATATATACATATATATTTATACACACCACACATATATAAAAGATCAGACAGGGCTTAAAATGACCAATTTTTCCATGTCAAATGGAGGAGTGGAAAATATTGGAACTGACAAGGCCATGGCAGATGATTTAGATACATATTCAGACAGTGCCAAGGCCCCTTGCCAAGAGCAGAGCCAATTCAAATATAGCACAGACTCTCGGGAAAAAGTTTCCTTGAAAAACATGATTAATTGCCATCCAGTGTGTTTCAGTCAGGCTGCATGGCGTGACTAATGCAAACAGGTTTTCTTAGGCAACACAGTAACCTTTGGTCAACTGGCAGGCACAGAAATCACAAACCTTTGGCTTCTATTTGACCCCCTGAAATAAAAACCCCCTCTTAATGTCCCAGTTAGGAAATACTTTGGATCACGGCGCATTCTCACAACATGAAATAGCATGAAGCAGAATCGTATAATAAGCCAATTACCTTTATCTCAATAGAAACCAGACTGAGTTGAGATCAGCAGGAGAGAGTTGACTGTGTAAATTTGAGGCAACGCTTTGAGCAAACAGTGATATAACTCTGTCCAAATACTGAAAGTATCACAATGTGCAGGAACTCGATGACAGTTCACAGAACTGTTTGCTAATTTTGGTTCACAAGTTGCGGCGCTTTGACCTGTTGAACTGCAGCCTTGCAGTGGATGTATACATTTACCCACTAGTAGTACAGCTCTACGCTGCTTTAAGTAACCCACTTAAAGCATAAAAGACACTTAAAAGTGATGTACCATCTTTTACATCACTTTTTTTGTTTTCTGTCACATGTTATGGTTTCGCTGTGGCGCTGGAGGTCATTCTCACAAGCAGAATTAACCACATGCAACACGGATACTGAAATATTATAGTTTCCTTTCTGGGATCAATAAAAATGTTTACATCCATTCAGTTTTACTCAATGTTACTTTACTCACATTTACTCGATTATTTTTAGACGAATAAATCTTACCTTGGCGTTGACATTAAATGATTAAATGCTTTTAGAGGCATAAACACAGCAGAACACAAGTAATTCAGTGTTGCGGGTTTCCAGAAGCTGGTCAGCCAGGAGAGGTTGGCTTTTAGAGAAGAAGAGTCAGGAAATAAAAATAGATTAAAATGTAGCCAACAAAAGCTACTGAGACAAGTAATTTTGTCCTCGGGGCATAGCAACAGCTTTGAAAATACTAATCTACACAAATAGTTAGCAGCTTGAGGAGATGCTCACATTTGCTAAAGCCCACACTAAAACCCAACTTCTGGTGTAAAGTCCTGACAAAACAGCAGGATAGAACACTGTTAAGATGAAAATGGGCCAATACATTGTGTAGACTGTACTCACAATGAAACCAGGCATCTGATTTTTTCAGTTTCAGTCTTTTCTGCAGGAAGAAAAGAGATTGTGAGATTGTGGCTTTTACATCTGCTGCTCTTGAGTTTCCACGATAAGCCACTTCTTATTAAAAAAGGTTGTGTGACTTGACAAACCCACTCAGTGGTTTTTGAAGGATTTTCAAAAGAATTTATCTGGAAGAAGTTTCAACATGATAACGCTTTCATTAATAATGTATTAATTAATACATTATTCAAATATAGCAGCAGATATGAATATAGTGGAAATACAAAGCTGGCAAATCAATAAATAAACATAATACAACATTTATTATTTCTGTTGTAGGTTGGTTTCTGTGTAATTTCAGGCAAGAGTGAAAGCAGAAACCGTCTCATTCACAACTCAACCTCTCATAACATTGCTGTGAGCTGTGCTCCTTATAGCAACGTTGAAACTGAGACCAATCTCAAGTTCCTGATCAGAGGAGACTTTTCTGGAGACCCTCTATTGATGTTACCCTCTGGAGCTACATCAGAAGACCCTAGAGCCTCTTTTTTTAGAAACATCTTTGAATGTAATCTGATCACAGTGGTATACTTTGGAAAAGATCCAGGTCAGAAGTCATTTCCACAACTTGAATTGAATGTGGAAAACTCCCACCTCAGTGCCAGCAGACATCTAGCATCTCATCATTCCTCTTTGTCGTATTCAAACACAATGTTCCAACAACCTAAAGCCTCGACAGCTGAGTACCAGGCTTCTCTGAACAAGTGAAGGTTGACAACCACAACCGGTACCTAGAAGCTGCCTCGAGAATCAATGGCAAAAAAAATGAAGCAATTCAAAGGGGCAGCAAAGGTAAAACCTACGCCGGAAATCAACTGGTGTGCAAACGCACTGTCACCTGACTGATGTTGAAAGACTGACAAGATCTCCCATTGCAACAGGAAGTAGAAGACAGATCAATTAAACCAAACCGAGTTTCAAAGGCTGATTTTAACAGCTTGGCAAACACCACAGTCTGCACATCCATTCAATTTACTAAAAGATGGAATTGATGATCTCAGTAAAAAATTTATTTATTTTGCAAACTAAGATGCTTTCAGAGCAAGAAAGAGAGAGAGAGAGAGAGAAAAAAACTTCAAAAGTGATAAAACTCATTTTAACCTCTGAAATGGTGGGAAAAAACGACACAAACCAGCACCACAAACCAGTGAGAGTAGTGTCACCAGTAACAAATGTATTTATTTTAATTTGGACCTTTTTTTTTTAAGCCAAGCATCAATTTGAATTCAGTCCACTGAGAATGGAGAATCCTTCAAAAAAGAAAATTTATCTTGACATTTTTATCTATCTTAAAATATATCTTAATGTCTTAAATTATTTTTGACAGCAGGAAATGATCAAACTAAAATGTTTTTTTTTTTAAATGCCCTGAATAGGAAGTAGCATTGAAATACAGAAATAGTAAACAGTGTCATCTACTGGTGTGGACATGAACCACACACTGATAGAAGCACTCACACACTTTCTTTTAAACATTTTTATTTGTAATGAGTGATTATACAGCACCAGATGTATTCTTTTTCATCAAAATAAGCAAATCAGAATTTAAATATGAACACTTGTGTCGGTAGATGGTTGTACAGACAGATAAGATTTATCTTTTGATCTGAATCTTTCGTCATCAATAATTAAATTACGATCTAATTCAACAAACAAATCCAATGACATACCGAAGAGGATGTTTCGGTCGATTCTTTTCCACAGTTTACAGACTAATCCAGGTGTTTGGTCCCTTAGAAAAAACATGATTGGCCATTCACACAGCTCAAAAAAAGAAAGAAAAAGTCAACTACTTTTGGGGAAAAACTCACACAGCAGTGCCATATGGGAACAGCTAGAAATCCACAGCTTATTCTTATTAGTTCTTTGGTGTGCCAGAATGCCAGAACTGAATTCCATTAATTGAAACTGTACTGGTTGGTATGTGTTTTAGAGAGTGATTCAAAAAAGAGGGAGGTGATGAAGGGTGGAGATGAAGTGCAGGAGGGAAGGGGGCTCACAAGTCTACGATCTCTTCTTTCGACTCTCGAAATTTCTGAAGTTGGCTGGCCTGATCTTCATCTCTGCAAATTCAATTGAGTGCTCATGGCCCTTCCAGTGAAACCAGTTGATTCCCTGTGGAAAAAAACAAACCCAAACAAATCATTTGGATAACAAAGCGAGTTTTTCCAGCAGCTCCAGGCTAATTAGCGGGGCCTTATTAGAGATGGAACAAAGCGATCTGTCATACTACCAGACGGTACTTTTAGCTGACATTCAGGGATTTAGGAAAACTGTGCATACCTTACTATGACTGCTGTCACCATATTTCCCCATCAGGTTGACACGATGACAGTTTTTATACCAAAAGGCCCCTTTGTAAGACAAGGCGCAGTTTGTCACAGCAATATCGTTGTCGTTATCGTAGGTGGAGAAGGGCCGACCCTGGTGGTAGGTCATGGAGTCACCTGGTGAACAAATTGAAGAGAGAAAAAGCTCAGGGATTGATTTTTTAACTGCACAGAGTGAGATAAGACAGTTGAACTCGCTAAAAAATCTCAGATGTAATCCGTGTTTACTGTGAGCTTCTATTGTCTATTTTTTGCTCTTAGTTTTGTAATGTTTTCTAAAGCATGAATTAGACCAATTAGCAGTTTTCCCTTACTTTTAGGTTTTACATTCTTTACAAAAATAAAGAGTAACCTCCAGTCTCTCATCAAATACCCACCTGCAGTTCCACTGTATGCTCCTATGTAGAGTTTAAAACGTGTTCTTGGTTCTGCAATCGTGAACTTGTCGTACTGAGCGTAGGCCGATTCCCCGTTGTCTCTCAAGTCCACTCGCAGCTCATAATGTCCCAAATTTGTGATTTTATGGAGGTAGGAGAGACCTGTGAGAGAAATTTAGAGTGCGCGAGTCATGAGCACCAAGTGTGGGAAAAGAGAAGATGATGTGAGGAGATGAGGACTCTTACCCAGCCAGAACTCATCGTTCATGTTACCAAAGCCAGTGGTGTAGTTCTTCCAGTTCCTGAAGAACTCCAGCTTTCCGTTTTGGCGTCTGAGGAAGACCTGAGGAAAACCGACTTTAATGAGTGCCACGGCAGCTTTGCAGCAAATGCATCGACAGGCCTTTTTTTCTCATTAAAATCAGGGGGCTGCATGTCAGGTCCAATAATGCCCTACTCTGAGTGATCTATGGTGTGAAGCTGCTCACCATCCATCCTCCACCATCTGTGGTCATGTCGCAGTAAACCTGGATGGCCTGGCTCTCCTCTCCTCCGATATAGATGGTGTACAGGCCAGAGGTCGTCTCTCCATTCAGTAAAATCTGAGCGCAGTCCTGGGGGCGGCTGTACAAATGTCCAACTGAAAACCACATATTTAAAACACATCAACTCAAAAGCCAGAGGACACAGTTGCTCTATCTCCATTATTGTTACATTAAAAAAAGCCCCACACAGTATAGAGTATCGCGTGAGAGGACATCTCCAGGAAAAAAAAAAAGAATTTGAGAGACAGGTTTTTCCATCTGCATGGCTCAAAATGAAAAATAAGCACAGGTGATTTGGCTGGCGTGTCACATCAAGCATAAGGTATCTGCATTAGGAACACATCTGGACTGTTGTGGTGCCAATCATTAGAGACTTCACTCTTCCACAGTGTTGAGTGACACACACAAATGAAGGGGGGGTTTTATCCTCACTGGTGGAAAAGACGGTGGTCACATAACGGCTCCTCTGAGGTCCAGCTATAGCCCGCAGTTTGACGTTGTACTCTGTGGATCCAGTGAGCTGAGACATGCTGTAAGAGGATGCTGTCGGGCTCAGAATCACCTCCTGCACAAACAAAATCACAAACGGCAAAGCCTCACAGAGGATAAATGTAAAAAATGGAATGTGTTTTATAACTCCTAACATCAGATCGTGAGAGGAAGCAACCTAAAAATGAATTTGCTTTATAAATTTGCTAATCTAATGTCTGAAAGCTGGAGCTGGAATGTTGGAGCATTTTAAAAAACTGAAAACTATGGCCTCCTATAAGTTTGGAAGATCACTTGAATACTTCTGATATGTCATGTAGTCTTTGTGTTTGAACACTTCAGTTGTTGAATTCTCATACCCTGATAACACCATCGGCAGATGAGAAGGTGAGCGTGTAACCAGTGACTGCCGCGTGAGGGGGTTTCCATGTCAGAGTTGCGCTGTCTGTCTGAATGTTAATGGCCGTCAGGTCTCGAGGGGGATCCACGTCTGCAAATACAGCGGCCACGTGTCAAGCAGTGCTTTCGCCGAAGCCACACAGGCTGGAAAGTTAGCCGGCGTGCTGCTGCCTATGGACTTCCCAAATCCACCTACCTGTGGTAAATTCAGTCTGAGCGGAGGAACTTTTCTTAGCATCCTTCATACCATGAACTCCAACTGCATAGTGTGTTCCCGGGACGAGGGACTTCATCTGAAACTCCACAATGTTTCCAGAGACATGCTCCACCACTGGGGCCACTAAAGGGCAGAGGTCAAACCGTACAGTCAAACCAACTAAAACATTTCACCTGTAGGCTGTTTTTAAAAGAAATCCACCTGAATCAGCCTTAAAGGTGATGATGTAGCCATCCACAGTGGCCACAGATGGTTGCCACAGCAACAGAGCGGACGTGTCGGTGACATTGATGGCAGTCAGACCCTGCGGGCTGTCCAAAGCTGAGAACACAAACAGGAAGGTTTTAATTTGCTTTTCCTCGAGCTGACTCCGATGTGAGGACACGGGTGTGGGTGCGCACGAACACAGAGGAAATCCAACCTGTGGTTACAGTGTCTGTGCTCGGCTCACTTTCCTCCAGACCCTTCAGAGCGCTGACAGTTACTTGGTAGGTCTTTCCAGGAACCATATTGACGAGTAAAGCCTCAGACACGGTGCCATCGGCAGTCACGATCAATGGGCTTCCTGTGAAGGGAGAGAACAAACACAGCGTTCTAAATCTGCAGGTCTAACAGTGATAATGCATTTGCAAGGCAATTTACACAGTCAAATGTACCTTTGGTGACTTGAAAACCACAGATTAGAACAGTTGCATTTAAACATTGACTGTCACAATGTTTTGTAAGCTTATTTACATTCTTAACTATATTAGTTTTTTATGTTATTCAGCATGAACTGGATTTAATGAATAGTCAAAGAGAGTCTCTGTACAAAAGAATACTGGGAAAATTCACTTAAAGGAAGAAAAGTTGCAAATTTGTTGTATATTTATACTCATTTTCTGTCCTTTACCCACTTTTGCAATCTGCCTGAAATTCTGGTGAAACGTTATTTGATCAAATTTATCAAAGAATTACAAAAAAATTGAGGAAGCTAACAAATACAGTAGTAGACGCAGCTGAAACCAGCTACAAGCTGTTGCAACCACTTACCTCCTTCAAATGGAACATAGGTGATGCGGTAGTTGTCCACCGGAGAGCGCGGCATGGACCAGTGAACAACAGCGGTGGAGTCAGTCACGTCAGAGAAGCTGAGGCCTTTCGGAGTGCTCAGGGCTGGCAGAGGGCAGGTGGGTATGCACAGACAGGAAAACAATGAAAAAGATATTGAAAGGTGAAGAAAATAGGACTATCCAGAAAAAAAAGAAAGCCTTCAGCTTTAGGAATTCAAATTAAACCCAAGAGAAAGTGTTTGCCCTTAGACCCACTTTTAATAGACACACCATTAGACCTAAACAGGAGGAATAAATGTTATTAGTGGTATTTTGGCTTCAGCGCTTCGTAGAATAAACACAAAAAGTGGTTAGAGTGAAGCTTCACACTTTGTACCTGTATGAGCAACCCCTGTTATAGGTTGAGAGCGTTGGTCCAAAGAGACACCATAAAGCTCGATTTCATACTCAGTACCAGCCATGAGGCCCGTTACAACCCTGGTACGCTCGTCGCCGCGGACGCTGTACTCTTGGGGATGAGCTAATCTTTTGCTGTCTCTTATTTTGATCGCAAATCTGTCAAACAGATCTTCGTCAGCTGCCCACGACAGACGGAAGCTGTCGGCTGTGATATCAGAGATGAAGAGATGCTCCACTTCCGGCTCAGCCTCTGGTTAGACAAGGACACATTAACGATGCATTGGGTTTGGTGTTCTCCCCAGAGAGTTTCATCAATGAACGGAAGTCTGGAAGAGGCCAGTCAACAGGTAAGGTGTCCAGGAGACGGACAGAATCGCATTCCAGGCCGAAAGCTTTTTGGTCCACCACCTCTGATCTGCCATGCTCAGGCATCCAGTTAGTGTAAATAAGTCAGACACACAGCAGTGGAACCACAGAGGCATACAAGAGCCAAAGGACGAGAGGCCTTTTGTAGTTGTTTATCTATGTCAGTAAATGGATTTGTTGAGATGAGCTCCCCAAGGACAGCATACAGTGCATTCAAAGGTAATGAAACTAATAAGATGAGACATTAAATCAGCAGATGCGTCATGCTCAGAGCATCTGCCGATTTGTCAGTGTTTTCCGGTTCTATATGGGAACTACAGAGCAGCGGGAGTGGACAGCAGAACGGAGGAATTTTGTCCACAAATATCTGTGTATGTTCATTTAAAAACATGAAGGAAAACACATAAAATATGAAAACAAACAGAACTGCTTGTTCATATTTTGAAGGAAGGAAGGTATAGATGGGAGCGTCTTCTCCTCATTGAGACAACTGCATACCGAGAAAGTGCTTCAAATAAAGAATGGTGAGATCATTCTGAAAAAAAGTTGTTTCATGTAGTCAAGTTATGGTTAATTAGGAGTACTCTGTTGAAGCTTCACCATCAAAACATGGCATATACCTAAACCTGCTGATACTGGGGGGAATTTTGACCCATTATGGACGTTATTTATATTGATTTTACATTCATTTTCACTTTGATTTCAAGAAAGACTGCCATGTTTGTCCTGTGAAACTTCATCAATAAATAAAAGCTTAAGAACTACACGTATAGCAGCTGGAGTAAATTGAGAAATAGTACTTTTTAGTAAGACGAGGGTCCTTGCAGTGCACTGTGAGTGGTACCTGTCACAGCCACTGTAGTCAGAGGCCGAGAGAGAAGCCCTGACTCTGACACCCCGGTCAGCCTGACCTCATAGCCTATGCCGGTGATGAGGCCCCAGATGTCCAGGTGGCTTTCATTTCCTGGCACCGTGAACTCTTGAGGCTCCAACAGCCATCCAGAGTCTGTCACCATTATGCGAAAGTGTCTGAAGCCGGTACTAGAGGGAGGTAGTTCCTCCTGCTGCTGCTGCTGCCTCACCGCCCACGACACCCGGAAACCGTAGGGGGTAACGTTGGAAATGGTCAAGTTTTCCACTTTGGGCAAAGGAGCTGGGAGGAGCAGGATGGGTTTGATTGAAGGGGGGGGGGGTGAGATCCATTAGGAGGACAATGTGTGCGATGGTTGCAAAAGCAAATGAAGAACCAGCTCTTATTGAGTTGATAAATGCAAATTTGCCACCACATCTTCAGCATCTAAAGTTCATTTCACACTCAAAAGGCAAAGTGACATACATCATGGTGTTTCTTTATTCCTCCCAGATGCTTCTGAGGGGACAGTTTAAAGCTTGTATAAAAGTTCAAAACGTTTGATATATATATATGTTGGCATGTAGGAGGATAAATAGGATGTGTGAATTATAAATAACCATTAACATTTTATTTGCAATCCCCAGAAGGAGAGAACTATTTACAGGTTGACAAATATTATGCCATTTCAACCTCGATTTATTCAGACAGTAAGTGTCTTTTCTTGTCTCTGGTTTTAGTCACTAGATTCACGCCTCAGAAATTGGAGAAGGTTAATTTGGAAATAATAAATAATAATGTTTAAACCTGGACACCAGTTGACTAGTAGAAAATATACTATAAAACACCAGTAGTGCTCCCTTGAAGTAAGCATGATATTTTACTGGCTGTGATAGAGGCAAGTTAGAGTTGCTATAGACACTTTTGTTGTAAAGACAAACTTTGGTGTCAGAAGTGGTTGTTGCATGGCAAGAAAAATGATAGAACTGACAAAAAAACAAAAAGAATACTATTTTGGGTGTTTTCACATAATATAGTTTCTGGAAGAAGTCAAATGTGACTGACATCCAAATCAAAAACAATATTTGCCGATGATGCGTGTCAGCTTTGCCCCTTCAGCATTTCAGACCTTAGATCTGAAGAATCTTTGTTTTTCCCAAAAATGCTATTCAAACTTTTTCAAAAAACTTAACCTTTCTGGAAAAAAAAAATCACTAATCCATAATTAAATTATTGTTTTTTTTGTAAAAGATATGAGTTAAATACGTAGTACCTGTGACAGCGTGGGCTAACACAGAAGGAGTGCGGCGCCCGTGTGAAATACCATACACTTCAATTTCATAGCCTGTGTCATCCATCAGGTTAGAGACGGTTATGTTACCGACTTCACCCGGCAGTCTGAACTCCAGTGTGTCAGACTGCTGCTCAGAGTCACCGACCCGGACAACAAAGCCATCAAAGTGGCCTGACACTGTGCTCCAGGACAAGCTGAGGTTTTGTGGGCTCACAGAAGAAGCAGTTATGGGCCCCAACTGTGGGACATCCTCTGAATAAAAGAAGAACATGACCTTTCAATGATGTTGCCCTGGGAAGACATTTCTGGAGCATGCACAATCAGGAAAAATTCGGTGTAATTCAGTACCTGTTGTAGCAACGGCAAACAGAGGTTGCGTGTTCTGACCACCATCACTGGCGTAAAGCTTTATGTCGTAGTTTGTGCTCGATTTGAGCCCAGTCATTACTGTGGAGCGCACGTCTCCTGGAAGCGTGCGCCCCACTGCCTGCGAGGGCAAAGCAGACTCTCTGACCTCTACTATAAACTTTTCAAATTCCTTCTCTCTTGTTCGCCACGACAGAGAGAATCTGTCTGAGGTAATGTTAGACACAACTAGCTTCGACAAAACAGGCTCTTCCGCTAAAGGGGGAAAAAAAAATAGAGTGTGTTCATTTACTGAGTTACAAAATGATGTATTTGTTTGCAGCTCAACTCTTCACCTGGAGAATATTACCAATCTGAAACTAAAAGATCTAACGTCTATGGCTGATTTAATGCACACAAATTCCAAATACCTGTTGATGCAACAGTACTGACAGCCCGAGTTCGAGATCCCTTGAATGTCCCATAGAGGTAGGCTATGTAATCAGTGCTGGGCCTGAGCCCCGTGACATCATGTGACCTTACATTGTGAGATATGTTAAATTCCTTTGGCTCCATCAGCCAATCAGAGTCAATTATCTCCAAGATAAAACCATCAAACTGTTCTTCAGTGCCATTCCAGAAGATGGAAAAGCTCTCTGATGTAAAGTTTGAGATATATAGTTTGCCAACCAGTGGTTGATTCACTGAAGAAAGAAACCAGGATTAGAAATTTATCAAAGCCATTCTGCAAAACAGATGTGATTTGAAATGGTTTAAATATTGACAGCAGCTCTTTAAATCTATTAATCATAAAATGAATATGTTGGATATCAAGACACTCACCAACATCAACAGCATTTCCTGACAGTCTGAACAGCATAATAAATTATTTCATGCATGCATGTACTTCTGTTTAAAAATGCAAACAGAAGTTCACTAGAAGAACACTAAAAGTTCCACTGCTTCTTAAGTTTCAAACCAACCTTTTTTTTCTGAAATGTTACAGATAAAGAAGCAATACTGAGTGCCAAGGAAATAAATCAAATAAAGCCTCCAAGTAAATACCTGAGACCTTTTGCCCTGCAGGTTTAAATGAATAATTCATTTCTCATGTGTAAATGATGATGGTTGAAGAGGATGATTTCATGCATATGGAGCACTATTTGATCATGCAACTGACCTGTTAATTTCAATGACATGATGTTGGATGTAAGCATGTCAAAGCCAACAGCTAAAGATGACCTTTAACCTTTAAAATGTAACTTCTCATGCTATTGGGTCATCGGTTACATGCAAACGTGCATCGGATGTCAAATGAGGTGGTGATTCTGACAACCTGACGTTACTGGCAATCTGCCACCTAATTCAAAAGTTACTGAGGATATATCCTATGTCTCATTGTCACACACACACACACACTCCTAGTGCTCATCTGACATGAATACTCACACATGCCATGAGCTCTTAAACACCCACGGGCAAATGGCCGCTCAAGGTTAATCAATTACACACTGAATGGAGGATAATGGGATGATATGAGATAGACACTGTCGCGGATGATGGGCGAGGAGAGGATGAAAGTTATTGGTTTGCTTTTGCAATCATTGCGGCACATCAGCGTCAGACCTGACCATGATGCAGGGATGGTAGGGGGGAGGGGTGTCATGCACTTTGGTAACTGGGAAGGAGAGAGCAGTTGGAGCAGGGGGGGGGGGTAGACTGAGGATGAATGTTTGGCTCAGTGATGCGGCGTGAACGCACATCACCCTGCTCTCTCTCAGCGAGACAGAAACAGTGGCTGGAGGGTGAAGAATGATATTGTTAAGATGCAGCATTTCAGTGCACTGAGGCCCTGTTGTTGGACTGAGAAGCCAAAACAGAAACTGGGTTATGAAGTTTTCGTTCATGCAGAGAGGTGAGGATGCTCATATTCAGAAATATGAATGTGTAGGCTTCACAGTTGTTGACTGAAATAGGAAGGTTGAAATGATTATCGGGAAAAAAAAGGAAAGGTTTGGCTGCAACGCCATCGGTTCCGGGTACCTGTGGTTGCTTCCCTGTACAGAGGTTCAATGAAGTCGCCCTGATACATCCCATACAAGCCAACCATGTAGCTGGTGTTGGGGTTCAGCCCAGAGATGCCCAGGCTCAAAGCGTCTCCGGACAGAGTGAGGTTCTGGCTCTCGGCAAAATTCTCCATGTTTGTTACCTCAATGATAAAGCTGTCAAAGTCCCCACCTGTGGGGCTCCAGGATGCAGTGAACCCATCCCATGAAATGTCAGAGATGGTGAGGTTAGCCACTGCTGGCTTCAGCTCCGCTGCTGGATAGACAGATCAGACTGGGATCAACTAAATGGCAAGTTGGATTATTCAGTTTATTTCAAGGCAGATTGTTAATGGTAAAAAGAGTATTAGGGGTTAGGAGTATCTATATTTGAGATAGTGGTTCACAAAGATCTAAAAATATTCCAAGAAAAAAAGTAATGACATTTTGAAAGCTGATTCAGAAATCATAAAGGGAGAAGAAGCAGATTTCCAAAATGCAAGGAGGGACTGGCGCCCATCCCAGCTGTCCTTGTGAGAGGCACAGAACATCCTTAACAGGCCAGTCAAGTTGTACAAATTAATATGATATACTAGTATTGCTTAAACTAAAAAGAAAAGAATGTTCTAGCTTTAGCCTTGACTCTTTAGGATTTCAACTCATCTTCAATTCACTGGACTACCAACTGCATGCATGCTGGCATAAATGAAGTACATCAATCTTTTAAGAAAATGTCTTCATTAGATCATATCTATATATGTATTATTAATAACTAATGAAATACTGAAATAGAACATTATAGTTTCATAAAACTGTTCCAGTATTAATGCATGTACCATGAATTTTCAAAATGTCAAGCTTTCATTTGATTAAGATCAATAAATTATATTCACCCCAATACTCGCTGTATATATATACATATGTGTGTGTGTGTGCTAATATATGTATGAGAGAAAAGTTTCTTTGCAGCATCTTGAATAAATTATAGTAGAAAAGATAAATATTGTGTGGTGTCATTATGCCAAAGGCATAGGGATTCCAGTTTCATGTACCTGTAGCAGCAAAAACTTTTAGAGGTAAAGACTGCCTCCCTCCCACCATTGCTTGCAATGTTATATCATAGTGAGTGGAAGGGCTCAGACCCTCTATGTCAGCTGTCCGTACACTTCCTGGTAGTACGATCACTTGAGGCTGTGCTGCCACCGATGGAGCACGAACTTCCACCAAAAACTGGTCGAATGCCTCGTCGGGCGCTGACCAAGTCAGCCTAACACTGGTGGCGGTCACACTGACTGTGAGGTCGCCCGGCAGATCCATGCCTGAGCTCTCAGGCTCGGCCCCGGAGCTCATCACAGTTTCAGATGGAGCTTCGGAGCTAAGAGACTGGAGGGGATCAAGGCTTTCATTCTCCACAACAGACTCTGGGGCCTCTTTGACGCTCAGCGCCAGTACATCTGGAGAGGTAGGCTTAGGTGCTACAGTGAATAAAAGCAGGTAAAATAGTGAATTTCTTTGTGGTTCTGCTGGAAGCTGTAAAAAAATCCTGTGAAGAAAAATAGTGGGTTAATGTAAGTACAAAATTCTCTTCCTCTTCAGCGAGCACTGCCCCTTGATCTGCCTGTCGACAGGGTTTTTTTTTCTCTAGATTTGCTTTTTCACGATAGTTCAATCACCAAGCAACAGCTAAGCTGTTAATGACACTGACTAGTGTCATTAGCTTGTTGAAGGTTCTGAGTAGCCCACTGCAGTGGAAGTACACAGCTTTCTTCAACCGGATGATATAGCCATGCACAGCCGTTTGAGACTCTGAATACACGCTGTTGATTCTCTTGGATGACATGCGAGGGATGTTTGACTGTTTCCATACTGTGAGAGCATGATTTCATTCGGTGAATGGTAGTACGGGGGATGAATCATTTGGGTGGAATTAGTTGGACAAGGCTTTCAGAGAGCAGAATGGTTGCATTTCAAATGGAGGAGAAAAACTGATGCCGCCAGCCGAGTAAAGGCCCAGTCCAGAAGACGCTGTTCCGACCACAGATTTCTTCTTGCATTTGAATTTTGGGAAGCAACATCTTGCCTGAGTTCTAAAGCCTTGGCAGATAATAAGTGAGATGAGATCAAATGAGGGTATTTAGTTGCGGGACAACATGCCAAAGATTATGCATTTAAAAGTTTAAATTTAAAAACTGGGATCATGACTTGGAAATCTCATACTGGCATGCAAACCCACCCAATCGTGATCTTTACAACTCATCCATTAAACAGGACTCTCCTTTAAAGGGGAGAAGCTTTGAAAAACCATTAATTCTCAAAGAGAAACTTATACCTGTGGCTGCAACAGCTTCAAGTAGCTCAGATCGCTGGCTATTCTTTAATCCGAAAAGTTTTATTTGATATTCTGTTGATGCCTTCAGGCCACTGATTCTAGAGCCATGAGCATCTCCAGGAAGTTGGACCTGTCCCACATCCCACAACCGCTGAGTGTCTTTATATTCTATTGCAAAGTTATCATACGCATCCTGAGGCTTTAGCTTCCAAGTGAGGTCAAATCCGTCAGGCGTGATGCCTGAGATGGTCAGCGATCCATGCTCATCCTTGGGCTCTGTCCCAGAAAACTGGGACTCAGACGGCTCTAAGTACACAAAGCTAATGACATTGTCCTCTGAGACGGTAGGAGTTGCTAGCTTGCGGTCGTCTGAGTCAGCTATATAAAAAGTGAAAGAGGCTACAAGAAAAACAAAGAGGCACAAATCAAGAAAACATGCGATGAAGTTGTTGAGTGTTGTTCTTGGCTTCAAATTTACAAAGTTGTTTCTAAAAAAGTTGTGATACTGTATAAAATCCAAACATCTAAGAGGTGACTCAAGGGAGAACATCCCCAAGACAACATGTAAAATCCAAATGGATAAACTTTTTTTTTAAATGCATGTAATGTATTTTCAAGAAATTGAAACAGTGGTAGGTTTTTCCACTTTTATACATCAGTTTCTCTTTTTTAAAGAAAAGTCTATGTAAAATGGTAAGGATTAAATCATTACTAAAATCCTTTCCAATGTTGTCTTTGATCCATTTTCAGTTATTATGGCGTTTAAAGTAATGCATTCTGTTTTTATTCCCACCTCCCACAAAGTCACCACTTTTTCAGAAAGATGGTGTAAAGATTAGGCTTGTTGAAATACAACTAAAAGCTGTAAAATGAAACTCATAAAGTTACACAGCTTTGTTAACCGTGCCAGGAGTAAGTTAAATATATGACAACCTAAATATGAGAGGATGTGGTTGTTGAATGTTGGTGAAAATTGATCAAACTTTTGAAAATGACCGTTTCATCTGAAATCTAAAGGTGCGTGTTTCCACTAATTCTGACTGAGGAAGAGCTGCTGCCCACCCACCTGTGGATGCAGACAGTGAGATGAGTCTGCTCCTCCTGCGTCCTCTCTCTGCCGTTAAGCTCAGGCTGTAGCTCATCCCAGGGGTCAGGTTGGACAAAACATAGGAGGTGGCTGTGGGCGGGATCTCCACCTCTTCTGCCCGGCCGTCCATGGAGATGTACGCTAACCTGTATCCACCCACTTTGGCCTGAGGCTTCTGCCACCTCACCGTGAGAGACGTCTCTGTGGACTTGACCTCTTCAAAACCTCTGGGGGGGTCAAGATCTGACAGAAAACCAGAAGCAACATTTGACATCTGTTACCATAAATGCCATAAACCGGACTCCTCGCCATCAGTTTCATTTCGTCCCTCGGTTCATATCAACACAACACAGCTGTGTGCGTAGTGATGAAGTAGTGTGAAGGCGGAGTGTTTGGACAGCTGCGCGGTGGCGGCGCTCACCGGTTGCAGCATTTGCAGTAGCCGGGAGGCTCTCCCTCTCATTTTTCATGGCTGTCACTCCGACCCCGTACTCTGTCCCGGGCTTCAGGCCTGCGACAGAAAAAGATTGAAGTGAAGTAACAGCATGATGAGACACGTGAAAGGCTGCGGGCTGTGTGTGCGTGTACGTGTGTGTGTGTGCTTAATGGATGCTTTCCTTGACCCTTACCGGTGATAGTAGCTTGTGAGGTCTCTCCCGGGCCCTGTGGGAACACTTCTTCTCCGTGAATGGCTCCAGAGATGGGGCTGTATTTCACTCGATAGCTGCCCACATCGGCTTGACTGTTGGTCCACTCCAGAGTGATGCTGTCGTCTGTCTGGGAGACAGCCCGCAGGTCTTTGGGAGCATCCAGTGCTGAGAAAAATATAGTTTTAACCATTAACAACACACTGACAGTCTCATTCCTATTCACATACAGTACATTTATCATCCCCACCTTGCTACAGACAGCTGTACATGGTGGTTTAGCTTATTTACTCTTTTTTGTCAATCATAGAAAACTAAAAACACAGGACTAGTTGTTAAATGTCCAGAAAAGGCTGCTTACTTTTCAGGTTTTGAACATTATAATCTTTAATGGTCGCCATCAATTGCTGCAAAAGCAAATGACTGGTTTTGCGGGACCTCCTGGGAACGTTGTTTAGCTTTGAACGGTAAAAGTATAAATTTTCTGTCCTGTCTGCCCTGTTGTTGCCTCTAAACCACCAAATCAACTGGCTCTGAAAGATGAGGCTTGTCTTTCAAAAACGGTTCACAATTATAGAGTTTAAATTCTTAGAGAGCCTTGGTAATTTCCTAAAACGGTTGGATACTGATGTTCCATCAAACAAACATTACTTAGTGTGTGGGCACACGTGGAGATTCTTGTTTCTTGGCCCTGGCTAAAGCAGAAGTAAGCCGGGGTTTGCTTCGTTGTTCATGTTCTTTTATTATATTGGGCCAACACATACCTGCATATGTGGAACTTGTGGATGTCACAAAAAACGTGTATAAGTCAACATAGGGGCAGTCTCTCAAACACAAATAAAGAAATGTGCCACAAAAGTGAAGCACTGATGATGATATGGAACAGTAACGAGCAACGTGGCTCATATCCTTTGAAAAGGGGTGTGAGCTTTTAACCAGAGGGGAAAAAAGTACTGCATGTTAGTGTGTCTGGACCGTACCGTATTAATATTTGGGCCTAAAAGCCCAAATGTCTGCTAAGAGCCTTTTTATTAGGTGTTTTTGGTCAGCTGGGCTGTGCACAGTAAATTGGTATAACAGCACTAACACCTGCTCAGACAAACCACGCCAGAGTTTCTTACTGAATTTAATCCAAAATTGGATTTGAGTGTGGCAAACATCTGAAATATTTGATCTGATAGAGAAATCATAAAAAGAGTTATCTCTTGCTTAAGTGTTCAGTTCATTTGAACGTTTCGTATTATAATAGAAACGCTAACTTAAGTAAAAAAAGAAAACAAAAATGTTTAGTTATTCTAACTAAAATCCCACCTGTAGTAAATGTAGCGGTGACAGGGTCACTGGTGACATCTCCACTCCTGGACACGAGTGACACTGTGTACTCAGTGTCTGGTCTCAGGTTGTCTACGCTGTACTGCTTGTCAGTAGGGGAAATATTCACAGTGGTTTTTTCTGAAGGGCTGGAGCTGGGCATGTAAAAGACAGTGACTCTGTCGACTGGTGCCACCGGCAAATACCAGCTGATCAGAGCCGATGAGTCTGTGACGTCCTTCACATCAACCTGCCGCGGGCCCTCCGTCTCTGGGTTTGGACAAAAAAGATGCGTTTACCATTTCGTCGCTTCTAAATGAGTTTAATACATGCATCAGTCACCGTGCCACCCCTCAAAATAATTTACTGAAACAACTGAAACTGACTGAAAACCTCAAAAGAAACACAAGGAAACCGGGAGAACTATTGGTCAAATGGTTTGTTTTAAAGCATGTTTCAGTAACCATGAAATATACTTTTCAGTCAATACCTTGTAGGAGTATTGTATAATTGTATATACAATACTATTGTATAATTGTATAATTAAGTTCCTGTATGTATAGTTAAGTACATAATGAACACAAACATATTATTTCCTATTGGGAGGAAATTGTGTGAGAAAAAAATATTCAAACTGCCCTGCTCTACAATAAGAAGATACACTTCCATGGTTCCCTTTCAGTCTGTTTACTACCAGACAGATCTCCTGTTGGTTTACAGGAGACATGTGGAGGAGACATTGCTTCGCAATGTTTGAGGAGGTAAAAGTGAGAAAGCAACTTTTCGTCAATCACTCATTTGGAGGAGCCGTGTCAGGTTTTGGCCTACACAAATAAATTACGTCAAGAACAAATGGGGGGAATACCCTGGGAGTCCACCGGCACAGATCTGCTACTAATGCCTTTTGCAGACACAGACGAGGAGGTTTGACTTGGCATACCAAATCAGTTGCGTAAGGACTTTGGAGGCGTTTCTCTCGGTAATGTATCCGGTACTTTAGCAATAAAAAGTTTCTGCAAGCAGGGTATAAAAGTTTAGAGCATCATTTAGCTTCCCTATAAACATGACAACTTTCACATGGTCATGCTGGACTGACATGCTATTGCTAGACTTATTATTCTTTATCTAAGATTACATGGATAGGAACTATGCCGAGCCAGCAGGGGTTTCCTGCTTTAACTCTTATCTTCCTCATGTAATTTTACACTATGCTATAAATGCATTTTTAAAAATCTGTACTCAGGTTATGTGACAGATATTGATACATACCCAGATGTTGATAAAAGCCAGGCAAAGTATGACAATAATCTGTCTGCAACTCACTTGTGCTGACTTTCCTGGACGTTTGGGGTCCTCTAGTGTTGTTCTTGATGATGTTGATTGAGACCTCATACTCCTGTCCTGGTCCAAGGCCTGACTGGAGGAATTGGTTTTGAGAGGAGGGAAGGGTGCTTACCACTTTACCGTTTTCTTCTTTCTGCAAAGACACATGAAATAAGCAAACTTTAAATCCAGAGAGATTTTGATATTTCAACGAAATTCCGTTCGGCATTTTTGTTAAATGTGCCAATATAAATTCTAGAAAACTGTCAGGAGAGAAAACTCATAATGATACTGAATTCTGTTAGACATTCCTCAATATAGTTTTACTAAATGAAGGAACATGTGTGCCTGAATAATCGTCTCATTTATGCAGTTCCAGAGCAAAGAGGACGATCAGTTTGATTAAAAAACCAACAATTATTATGGTGCAGCTTCCTTTTTCCGTCTTTTGGCTAAGTGAGTTTTCAATAGATAAACTGATGAACTATTCAATTTCCCCAGCCTAAAGAAATACGAGACTATCTTATGTAAGAGTTTTGAGCACATTAGTCCTGCTGTGTTATGCCTTTCTTTTGATTCCAAAATTCTCCTTCAGCCTTTGTGGAGGAAGCCCGACTCGGTTCAGAGTGCAGTGTTTTTGGAAGGCATAAACCACCACTCCAGACTGTTCCAGCTCAGTTTGAGACTAGCCATCTTGAATAGTGTCGTGTTTTTCCACCGTTTCAACCAAAAATCACAGACCTCTGACATTAAGCCTCACATTCTTCATGCGGGGCCAGAGACCAGGTGTCAGCCTGTGTGTTTGACTTGGCTGCACAATCTAATCATCTAATCATAAATATGACAGACCTCTGGTGTCCTTTGAATCTGAAATAAAAACAGAAGCTGCTGAACATTTATTGTAGCATCAATTACAATTTTTATTCACCCGAGTAACTTCTATTCACACATATCCTCTAAGCTTGTTTCATCTCATACTTTTTAGGTCATCATTCCCAGGAGGAGTGTGATATTTGCTACTCCGAGGCTACAAAAACATTTTTAAAAAGATTTATTTTACTGCACAAGGAACTCCCTTTAAATTGTTTGGGGGGAGTTCATTTTTCCTCTTCAAATACAATTTAAGGAATCTTTCATGACAGGAGGTTTGACTTTTTTCTTGGAAAACACTGGTGAGCTGGAATTATTATAATGTCTTCCCGTAATGGAATATACGATTTTGGTTTCGCATATTATACAACTGCACCATTCAAGATGAGCTAAGGGTCAGAAAAGGACGATGTATTTATAGCTGAATAAAAACTCTGCAAAGGCCAGAAAACATAAAAAGGCTGTGACTTATCAGCACACACAGGCGTTTCTTGTCAAAGCCTTACAGCCTCCAGTTCCAAGCAGCGGATTTAGCTGCAGCTCTGTGACATTCAGATGCGCGCGCACTTTATTTTCCATACGTCAAAGCAAACTTTGAAACGAAAAGTGAAGTAAATCCTCGTTTGTCGAAGCACCGAGTAAGCTGGCATTGCTCGGGCGCTCTCCTGTTTCCCTTGATGGTTCGTAAAACTGGGGGGGAAAACCTTCAAAAGACGAGCAAACTGACCGTGTTGCGAAAATAAATCTCCCATCCATCAAAGGAGATGTCCAGCTGGTCCCACATGACCTCTACCGAGGTCTCTCTCACTGATTTGAATCTTAAACCTTCAGGCGCCGGGAGATCTGTGGAAACAGCAACGGACAGAATCAAGATCTCAGACTTTGTTGAAGTGAAAATATTCTGAGGAAACCAATACCAAAATGACTGTGATGTACCTGTGGCCACTCTGGCGCTGACGGGGATGCTCCTCTTATTGCTCAGGACGGCATACACACTGATCAGGTACTCAATACCAGGTTCTAGCTCTTTGACAGTGGCTGAGGCCTGGTCTCCGGGCACAGTGAACTCTAGAAGAAGACCTCCGGGACTGGTGGGCACGTACGTGACAAGGTACTCTGTAACCAGCATCTCATTGCTCCAGGAGACGTCCACGGTGTCGGGGGTGACCTCGCCCACCGTCAGGTCCTTTGGAGGAGACACTGGAAATATTAAAGAAATAAAATGCTGAGGGGTATTTTCTCTGATGGTTCTTCACATGCTAAGTCATTGAATATCCACCATAAAGCCCTGATGCAAACTCCAGACCCACATCTGGTTGTGGTGGGAATAACTGCCAAAAGAAAGCCCAAACCGAGAGCAGAGAATAGCAGCTCGCGAGCCGAAACTCTCTTTTATATCCACCAAAATAGTTTCTCTCAGAAAGAGTGGTGAGTGAATTTTGAGAATGGAAGGAAATGACATCACTCTGGATTTGCTTTTATACTACTCCAAGTCGACACACGGAAACTTTCAGAGACTCGCAACTGCCAAAGCTTTTTGAGTGCAATTCTGCACTCAGCTTCTTACCCACTGAGCAGTCCTCTCCGATGTAGCCCTCGTCACAGACGCACTGACCATCCACGCAGCGGCCTTTGTCCTGGCAGTTGTTGAAGCAGCTCAGGTCGGCGCAGCTCTCTCCCTCGTACCCGCCCTCGCACGCGCACATCCCGTTGATGCAGCGTCCCCTGCTGTTGCAGTTGTCCGGGCAAGCCATCACGGAGCAGTCGTCCCCTTTGTAGCCCTCCCGACAGACGCACTTCCCGTCGTCGCAGGAGCCCCTGGCCATGCAGTCGTTGGGACAGGCCCTCTGACCGCAGTCCTCCCCGGTGAAGCCCTCGTCGCAAACGCACTGGCCGTCCACGCACCGGCCGCGGCTCCTGCAGTTGCTGGGGCAGCTCAGTTGGCCGCAGTCCTCGCCGGTGAAGCCGGCGTGGCACGCGCAGCGGCCTTCGACGCAGTCTCCGCGGCCGTAGCAGCTAGAGGGGCAGGTCCGGACGCTGCAGTCCTCCCCGGTGAAGCCCTCGTCGCACACGCACTGACCGTTGAGGCAGCGGCCCCTCCGCCGGCAGTCGTTGGGACAGGAGAGCTCAGAGCAGTCGTCGCCCTGGAAGCCAACATCGCAGGAACACTGTCCGTTTATGCACTGGCCCCGGCTGTTGCAGTTGTTGGGACACGCCAGCTGACTGCAGTCCTCACCTTGGTAGCCCGAGTCGCAGATGCACATCCCATTGAAACACGTCCCTCTCTCATTACAGTCTTTCAGGCAGGTGAGGCCAGAGCAGTCCTCGCCGCCGTACCCGGCGGTGCAGACGCACTTCCCGTCCACGCAGAAGCCGTTGCCGTGGCAGTTGGCGGGGCAGCTGTCCCGCCCGCAGTCCTCCCCGCCGAAGCCCTGGTCGCAGAAGCAGGTGCCGTTCACGCAGCGCCCGCGGTCGTAGCAGTCGTTGGGGCAGATGAGCTCGGAGCAGTCCAGGCCCGTCCAGGGTTCCTCGCACACGCAGTCTCCGTCCTCGCAGCGGCCTCGGCCCAGGCAGCCGCTGGGGCACCGGCTCTGGGAGCAGTCGTGGCCGGAGAAGCCGTCCGAGCAGACGCAGACGCCGGCCTCGCAGCGGCCGCGGGCGCCGCAGGTCAGCGGGCAGGCCTCCAGGTCGCAGTCTGTGCCGGCGAAGCCTTTGAAACACTCGCACTTCCCGTCCACGCAGCGGCCGCGGCCCCGGCAGCCGCCCGGACACTCGAGCTCGGAGCAGTTGGGCCCTCTCCAGCCGGGCTCACACAGGCAGCCGCAGGTTTCCACGCTGTAGTTTCCATGACCGTTGCAGTAAGGTTTTGTTCCCAGTTCACCTTAGGGGGATAAGAAGAAAAAAAATATCATGACAGCCATTTTTCCAAAAGTTTATTTTAGCAACGAGAACTAAAAACGTTGTTGATATATGGTGCATTAAAACTGATAAGTTGTTGGCCTTCGCCGCGCGGAGAAATTTACACGTCCACTCTGAATTCCAAAGAACCCCAGTCCAGCATGAGTGGAACAGATATGAGTCATACCGAATGAGACTCCAGGGAGAAATATAATATTTCACTTCTTCACTTTTCATTGATAAGTTAATTTATAAAAGATCCTGTTGTTGTGGCTACAAGATAGGAATACCAAAACAGAAATCCCACCAACCTGTGAGCTGAGCGCTGCAGCAGGTCCCCTCGCTGCTGCTGCACTGATCTCTCAGAGTCGAAACTTCGCCTTCAAGCATCTCCAGCCGGCTTATGAGGTCCTTCAGGCCGGGCAGGTCATCGGTGCAGCCGCAGGCCAGCCTGGGGATGTTGATGCGATGGGTGAAGACGATCTGGTTCTCCCCGTCCAGTGTGTGTTCGGTGACCTGGTGGCCTGAGGAGGCTCCCGTCGCGTCTTTGGGGTAGAGCTGCGTGCTCCCGGGGGCTTCCAGATCCACCGAGCACAGCGAGCTGGCGGGAACATTGATGTTGTAGACATGGCTGAAAACCACGGGGTGGCCCGCACCGGCTAGGGTGATATTACGTTCTTTAAGGGGCGACAGAGTCTGGCGGCGTTGCCGCAGGATTTTCTTGATGAGCCCGGCGTTCGACAAGCTAAGCAGAGTAATCAGAAGAAGGCAGCCCAGAAGGCTTTGTGTGCCCATGACGTGAGATGTATTAAATAACTCGGTTTGGATCTCAGACTAAATTCAAGTCTTTGTTGTGGTGAAAGATCTGAAAAGAGACAACACAAAAGTCAGACTTATAAGATGTTAAAATGACATCAATGCTGTAAAATGAGAAAAGAATAATTACTATTAGCCATATATTGGCCAGCCTCCAGCCAGTTAAAATGAATCGACAGCCAAGGAATTGGCAGGGAGCAGGCTGGGAAATAAGCTCCATACATGAAGCAGATGGATGTACTAATTAGCTTTATGTGTCATTAATTTAAAAAGGGAATGAAAGTCTTATACAGTAAAGTACATTTGAGGTCACCAACAGACTAACAAAAGCTAACAAGATCTTTTAGAAATTAGGTTCAGGATGGAGCTGCTGATGTTCCAGTATAAACTCGTTTTTTTTTTTATTACAAAAGAGGTATATGAAGTGTTGACGTTGTCTTGACACAAGGGATGTTTATTTTTCCACACAAAGGCCCATGACTGAAAGAGCAGCTCATTGATGCTTTATCCATTTCTATTTCCTTTATGCTGATGATCTGACTTTTGTTTCTAGTTTGCTCCAATTTTACTTTTGGTCACTGTGTGCATCTACACACCGATTGTTTTTTTTTGTTATTTTGACACACATATCTTAAAAACAGAAAAGGGAAGAAGCAAAAGCTGTCTTCATAGTTTCAAATGCTTTTGCAGGTAGTTACTACTGGAAATAACTAACCTTAACCCACTGCTGTTGCTGTTGTGTGCAGTGTAAAAACAGTTCAGTTCAACATGTAATTGTAGCGTAACATTTTCACCCATCTGAGATCCATCACTTTATCAGATTTCGTTCATGCTTTGCAGTGAATGTAACGTTGCACCGTGGAATCTACAGCTGTGCTGGCTCAGGGGCATCTAATACAGCATTCTTGCATACATGTGTAGAAAGATGTCAGCTGTTTTGATTTTCCACAACCTATACATATTATAGGATAAAACAGTGTTAAAATGTCTAATCCATTCCGTGCGCGGCAGTGCTTCTTGCCCACAAACGTCTCCAATGATTTAATCATCTGGACACTAAAAATGCCAAAATTTATGGGAGTCAAATGACAAACTTCATCCTCAGCGTGGGAAAGTTTCCTTAGATTAGTTTATGAAGATTTTTAAAAAGGATCTAACTAAGGAAAACTAGACAGAAAATCAAAATGGATCAACGGGTTTTTTTTTATTTCATTTTTAGCTTTACTGGGAATATCTTAACTTATCATTTCAGGGTGAATCAGAGCCCTGACTTTCGGCACCATTCAAAGTGATTTGCAGGCTTTATATAACTTTAAACTCACTTAACTTCAGTTCTGTGCATTTTATTCTGCCAATGTCATCCAGACAGTTTCATAAGCTTGTCTGCTCTCTGCTACTTTTAAAATCGGCCCCCACAGGGCACCAGTACCTGATGTTATAGAAAGAAAAACCGCGATGCCCCGGGTTTGTTTTTATGAGGGAATCTGGAAACTGTTTGGGATGATATTCAGCTCTGTTTGTGAGTGAACTGTCTGGTCTGATGATCACACAACTAAAAACTTCAGTTTTCTTTTCCACGACTGTGTGTTTTTAAAGTTTCATGCAGCAGTTGTGTGCCTTTTTTATTCCTTCCCCCTCGGATTTCTCATAATGGTTTTTATATCACAAACACAACAAGTACAATTGGTGCACATAAAGCAAAAATTCTACCCTCCAAGCCTGTCAAAAATGAAATATTTTTAAAGTCAAACCAAGACCAGATTAAACAAATCTCAAAAATAAACCTAAGTTCTTGGTCTTGCAGTCTTTTTATCTGCCATGTCTGACGGGAAAACTGAGTATCGTGTCTAATATGGGTGCATTTATTTCTGAAATATAAACAATGTACACAGGTTTGACCGAATATTCACATAAGAAACGCATGGGATTGATTTTAAGGAAAACTAACAAAGCAGACGAACACCTGTGGCTTTCAGATTCTAGAGGGTTCTAATCCAGCAAAGCTCCAGGAAGATGTCCTTAATGTTTAAGTGTCCAATTTGCATGGAAGGCAGCAAGGTGTCCTCTCTAAATCAAACTGATGACTGTGACACGACTTTTCCTTTACTGTCACCATGGTGCCAGTAACCACAAGTTTGAAGACACATGTCTCTCATTAGTCCTCCTGTCCCAATTTATTGTCCCCACCTTTGACCTGACCTCTCCTTCATCCCGAGCCACTTTCCAGCTCCCCTTTTCTTCTTTACTTGGCTAAATGTGGATGCATATGGATGTGGAACTGAGTTTGGGTTTCACAAGGTCTCACACATGTGGTGAGAGAAATAGGATAAAGATAGGTTATGACTGGAGCTGTAAATCTAAAATTCACGTCTTGCAATATGTTTTTGATCACTATAGTAAACTTCAAAAAGAGAATTATTGATCCATTCTTGACTTTTGGTAAAACGTCTACCCAGGACTCCTACTGGATGTGTTTGATGAAGATACATAGGACAATATCAACTGGTGGCTCACTTAAGTTTTAGAATTTCTAAAACAGACTATCTAATAAAAGTCCTAAAGGTTATAGGGTTATTTCGTCTAATTTATTCATTTAGAAGAATGTCATTTCTTTCTAATTTGGAGTGCCTCATTTGGCATTTACAAATATAATTGCTAAATGAGAAAGAGTCAGGGTGGTTTAATAATCATTTGAATGTTAAAATATGTGACAGGACTAAATAAGCATGGCTTTTTTGGAAGGGTTGCAGGATAAAGTGTCCCCTCTCTACAAAGAACATATCAGCACTGCTTTGAATCTGAAAAACGCCTCAGGAAAAACGTCCTTTGGACAAAAAAAAAAAAAGTTAAGATTTTTGGTCTTTTCTCTCCAATGCAAAGCAGCATGTCTGGAGGGAACTAAACACAGTGCATTAGCACAAACCTCACAAAACCTGTTAAACACAGTGGTAGAAGACTGATCATTTGGGCTATGTTTTGCAGCCAAAAGACCTGCAAACCTTGTCAACCGAAAGTTTCATTTTACACCAATATATTATGAAGCCAAAATCGAGGCCATACGTTAAATCCCAAAGCTCAGCTGAATCTGGCATGCGGAACACTAATCTTGAACACGGCAGCAGAGCTACAAAGGAATGTCTGGAAAATATGAGAATCAAGGTGCAGAAATGGTCCAATCAAAGTCCAGACCTCAACCTGATTGCAATGCGCTGTGGGACCTCGAAAGGTTCCACATAATCCTGATGATGCCAAGGTTCTGTAACTCGCTCAATAAACAACCCGACTCCATGGTTCATCCTGGCTACCTCTGCCTCATCCATCCAAATAAATTTTGCATCGCTGATGCCAGTCTGACAGCAGCATGCAGCATCATAGTGATGAATAACAGAAGGTACAAACTGGGACATCAGTTGTCAGCTTGCACATAAAATATGGACATTTCCATTTTTTTCAATCAGGGAATCAAACTGTTCTCCATCCACTCTTTCCTTTGATAGAACGAGAATTGTACAGTTTAGTGTTTTATCTTCATAGTTAACTTTCCAACCCCATCTTCAAACGATGGTCAGCAAACTTGTTTAGAGGCTTAAACACTACAGTCTGCAATGTTGCAATCCCCTCTTAGTTTATGTTTCCTGACTGCCTGTAAACAAATAAGAACTTGTTCTAGGAGACTCTTGGATGAAGGTGATTGGATCTTTCTTAACAGATTCTGAAACTAAAACTTTTTACAATAGACAGCTAAGAGCAGACCTCGGGTTAAGTGTTGACTCCTCATTTTACCAAAGGACGTGGGAAGACTATTTCGAGAAGAGAAAGACAAAAATATAACCTGTTCGCTAATTTAAAATCCATTTGTCGGGGCTTAAGTATTCTTCCCTGCAAACTGGCAACAAGAAGGGAACTTTCCCACGTGGAAAAGAGAAACTGGGAATGTTGGCCACAAACTGACGACATCTGTTTTGCCTAGTTGAGACAAAAAAAAAGGAGAAAAAAAAGGCACTGATGCACTTTTGTGTCCAGATACTGGAAAGGAAGGTGCTTCAGATTAAGTGAAAGAGCTACTGCATGCAAAACATGATCAGTGTGCAAAATCAATCTGCCAAAGAGCTGCTCTGGTGATGAGACACTACAAACTGTCCACAGCAACACAAACAGAGCGCGGTTCGTCTGGATCCACTCCTCAGGAAACATTTGTGGCTGACAGCAGCGTGGCATGAGTGCATCTACTTGTTTGTTGGTTTGTGCTTTTCATTGTTGAACGAATTCCTTCTACACTACACGGGCTGACCCTCGCAGCATCTGGCACAGCTGGGAAGCATCTCAGGAAAGTTAATTGGAGGATTTACAGTCGATAGAAATAAGAGCACCTCATCAACAGATTACACATTTCCCCATTGCTGCATGGCAGACATCCCCGAGAGTGCCTTTAAAATTTAATCCGCTCCACAGGTGAGTCTGAACAGGATGCAGACTACAGTTTCAACAGAAACGAGTGAAACTGAAAAGTGATTTCTTTTTCAAGAATTCAAACAAGTGTAGTTCCAGACACTTAAATGTGAGTGTTTCCTGTTTATCGTTTTCATCAGATATGTCTGTGAATTTAAGCCTGGAAAGTTGACCTGGATGACTGAGAATCTTCACAGATTTGTCTGTGAATTGAATTTACATGTGCAAACAATATGTCATCCGTGTTTATTTTGAATGTAAAAATCTGCTAATAAAACGATTATTATATCAAAATGGCTTATGTATCTCCACAAAATGTGGAAAAAGTATATTTTCCTTCACAGGCAAATCAACACCAACAAGTTTCCATCAGTACTCACACCCACTTCTCACCAACACACCTGATTTTAGACACATCTGTCAGACCTGCTGTAACAAAGAGGACATAAATCTATTCAAGTGTTGCGTAAGGGGAACTATAGCTCTACTTGTTAAAAACACAACAGCGGCACTCAGTCCTGTGCAATGTCCTCACTTACCTCCGGCACCTTTTTGCCAGCTGGAAATGCAGTAATAATCTAACACCTCTAACAGAACATAATGAGGTATGTGATGCTGAGTTATGATCCACCCCTGCCTCTTGGAGTGCAGGTCAGGTGGAGGGAAACTATGGATGTGCCTCTGGGGAGCTCAAACCAGCTGTCCTCCTGACAGAGGTGCGTTCACAGGGACACCTCTCACCTCTCAGGACACCCAACGGCAGCAAAAAAAAAGCAGTAAAATATCTCTGCTTTAACACCATACACAGTTTAGATTAGAGTTTAGGAAATGCACGTAAGAAGAGAATGAGTCAAAGCTTTTTGAAATATTCTGCCGAATGCAGACCACAACTCGTGACTCAAACCCTCCACAAAAAGGACGAAACACAAGTTGAAACATCTGCTGCCAGATGCCAATTTACCACAGCTAATGCACTGAATGGATGAAGTATTTTGTTCTCTCTTGCTGGTAAAATCAGCCCCATCAGCCACTTTTCCCTTCACTTAAACTTCATGGTGGAAAAACGGTGCACAATGAAGCCTGAATTGCAATGCCTAAGGTAATGTGGTGAATCATCAAGCTATAAAAGCTCAAACAAACGGATGCTTGTGCTTTTTTTTGTTGCTTTTTTTGGCTCCATGCATGAAAACATGCAGATGGTAAGCTTTTATCTTTACGTTTCCAGCATTGATCTACAGCCTGACAAAATCGGAGAGCATCTCCTTTGGCTTGGAGCGAGCTGGCGGTTCTACTGAGGTGATCAAAGCCGGGGATAACACTTCCACATGTTCACTCCCTTAGCAGTGAGCTGTTACCTCTCATCCCTAAACTTATTGCTTTTATGTGTGGGGAAGAAGTAGGTACTCTTCACCAAAAATCCACTTCTCTCAAATAGGTAAAAGGCCAAGCAAAACAGATAAGAAGTGAATAAATTCTGTTATTTTTTGGCATAAATTCAAAAGAGATGTCTATTCATGCGTGGATATATATTCTTACCTGTATTAGCGTAATTAATCTCTCATCTGCAGGTAACTTGTGATGATCCCCCAACTCCCCCAAAGCCAAATAAAGGATGCTTCTCTCTCTTCTGTCACTGCAGCGTCTCCAGCAGCTCCGTCACTCCTCTCCCAGCCAGCTTCTTATCTGTTCTCACCATTCACAGCTCAGGCTCCAGCTCGGCTCCTTTTCGGTGAGTCAAAAAGCAGAGATGCAGGGAGAGAGCGTGTGGGAGGAAATGTCTTTTAAAGCGTGAGGAGTGTTTAGGTCAGACACCCATTGCTGAAAACTCCAGCCCTTAAATAGCCGTTTATTCTCCCTCCCTTTTTCTGCCCTCCCTCCGCTGTAACTAATGGATGCAGGGCTGAGCTGCTGCCTTTAAATGAGATGCCACTGCTACTGGGAGTCATGACAGAAAGAGCCGTTCTTGTGGTCATGCAGGAAAATTAGAGAGGAAAACCGGGCAATGAGAAGAAAGTGAAGTTTGACCATAGACAGGAGGCAGAAATTTGTCTTCAACCAGATGAACCTTCACATAAAGATGTATAATTTTTTTTATTCAATGATTAAAGCTGCAAAAACTGAGCATCTTACGTCTAATTTTGCTCACGTTGTAAGGTTAAATTTGAGGATATAATGGTCATACATTGACCTCCATGGTTAAACCCTTGTAAAAAGAAAAAGACTACAAATCTTTCTCCACCTCTGTCACAGTAGTTCACATTATTTCATGAAATATGTGGCACGTCTCCTCATAAAAGACAAAAGTCAGTCTCAGAGTTCCTGAGGAAATGTTTCCTTGCTAACACAGACGTGGCAACATTTTAAGAGGAGATGAGCAGGAAACAGACATACTTGAAATAAAAGCTGGTTGCTGCAAGAGGCATTATGAATGCAGTCCAAGCCTTCCACCAAATAAAGAGAAAACTGCAAAACTAATCAGCCAGAGAAATGGGCACCATGCCACCATATGGACACATCCTGCACGCTTTAATCTTAATGTGATTAGAAGAGGATGAGGCAATTATCAGTTAAATCTTTTAAGTGAGGCTGGTGAAGGTTTAATAATATGCTGCTTCTGAGATGTGCTTTATGTGATAATTACAGTATTCTGGATCTAACCAGGCCTCCAGCGTGACACTAGAGAGTTCATTATCTAAGTCTTTAATATTCTTACACATTTTTAAAAAAGTAAACCTCAATAGAAAAGGAAAAAACTGATTAATGGAATGGCAACATTGTGGTAAGTAGATTTGTCACTTTTCATCCCTTGGCTTGTTCAAACCATGACAAAACAACAACTGTCTTTACTGTGAGGGTGTCAGTGTAGAGTCTGAAGAAATGACAGAACGACAGCACACACATAACTGTTAAAAAAAATCTAATTGTTAAATTAGATTGAATTGCTCTTTTTTCAAGATAACGAGGGAAAACAATTATGGAATCTTTCAACCTTTAAAAATCACTATGTGATTTTACATGTCTTGCATACATCATAAAACACAAATGAGTCTGCAGTTAAATGAGAATGTCAGCCAGGCTTAATGAGCGGTTCCACCTGGCTGACTGGCAGAAAACGTGGCTCCAATAACAGAGCTGTCAGCAGAAATCATTGGAAAATATTTAATTTAATTTAACTCAGTGTGGCAAAACAGGTTGGTTGTTCCCAGCAAGATCCGACAAAATGGGAAGGTTGTGAAAAGGAAATATATGTTGGCCATATAGTATAGCTGGGATTTTATCCAGAAAAGCCAAATGTGAACTGACACTAAAAACCTAAAGCGAAGAAGATTGTGGTGGGCTAAAGAGACGGAGCATACTTAGTAACGTACCACCAATCAACACTGTGCTTAAGTCCCCAGGATTTTCTACTTTCCTCCTTTTGTCTGTACCTTAACACAAACAAAAGAAATGGGGTCAACCTAATGGCTGGAGAAGATAATGCAATGGAACTGGTTATTTTAATCTATAGTATTTTCATTTTTTAAAATACAACTTAATCTAACTCTCTTGATGCAATTTCACAAAGCCAGAATGTGCAGCTCTCAAATGAAATAGCTTGCTGCCTTACGGACGACTTGTTTATTTTCCAGCAATTAAACCAATGCGGTGAAGTGGCAAAGTTATTCCTGTGCATTTGTGAGCTGTCTGGCTTCCTTCCATAATTCAAAAAGAAGAATGCTAAGTAAATGATGATTTCAAATTGACCCTAAGAGTTAAAATGAGCCTACATAGTTATTTGTCTTACCTGCCTTTGTGATAGGAGGGGAACCTGTCAATGGTTTTCATGGTTCTCTCCGCATATGTTATACACATGCAACACTCCACAATGCAGGCACATGTGCTTTACCCACAAATTTATCAGTGTTAGCGAGCCAATCGCATTGTAAAAGAATTGACTGCAACTCCTCCAAAACACTCCGAAGAATGCCCAAAACCGATGAAGCAAAAAATTAAAGCAATGCACATCTCTAAATTAAGGCCTAATGTAAGTGTTCGTAACCAAATATTCATCTGGCTGAAGAAGCTTCAAGCTCATTTCAACTCATCCTTAAGGGAACAAGCATTCATACAAAATTCATGTTAATTAATTTAACGGTTTTCGACTCAAAAGTATAAAGGTCAACTTCTCACGGGCAATAAAGAAAAGGTCAAGAGGTCACAGAAGTCATTAAATCCCCAAAAGAGCATCATGGAGGTCCTAAATGGCACGTTTTATGGATTATTTCTGTTTGTGGCTGTTTTCAGACAACACATGAAACTTTTTATTGGTATTTTTTACTGTTATTTTCCAACATTACTTCTCTACTTTGTGATCTTTATAGTTCAGAGTAATATCTAGGTGGAATAACTGACTTCTCGATGTTCCAGGATTATTGATATTCCTTTGCTTGGGGCCTTTTCTTCTGTCTTATGTCTCAATATTTTCTCTGTGATGTGGTGTCTTATATAACTTATTGGCTTGTATGGACACAAACTGAGCTTTGAGCAGGCGCTTAATACACTAACATCTCTTTTATTTTTTCTTTAAGACGTAAATTAGATACACCCTTTTCTCTTCTTAATCATTAAAATGCCAGCTTCGAAAGTCTTGCTCTGATAAACATGATGATAAACTGAGTTGTCTCAAAGGAATCTAATCTGTATATCCAGACTTCAGATTTGCGTTTATGCCAAAGGGCCACCGGATTTATTTTCAACAACCAGTCAGTTTGGTGTAAACATATTAACACAGAAAAGCTAACAGTTAGATGAGCTCATAGCCAACTATAAGTTTTCCCGACTCACGACACTTTCCTTTAAATGGTTTAATGATTGCAGCTGCTCCACTCCTGGCCTTTTAGATTAACGACAACGAGCTACTGGTACAAGCAGATGATTCAACTGCTGAAAAAACATCGACTAAATATTGGCAGGGTTTGCCCTGCCCTATCCAAAATACTTAAATTATTGTTGAGTACCACATACTGGTCACTTTCACATCACATTATGCCTTTTAAAGTGGACTTGGTGTCAGCAGAGGGCCATGTGGTGACACAACCCAGGCCAGAGAGGTCCGGACTTCCACAAACATGAACTAATAAGGTTCTGAAGGCACGTCTAACCACTCAGGCCATTCCTGAGGCTTGCCAACACATCAGGCGAGAGCCTCTGATCACAGCTGAGAGCGGCTGCAACCGAACCGCAGACTGCGTGGAGATCACTTCCCTTTGTTGCCTCAGCGTGACAGCTCTAATGAGCTTGTGCGCTTTACAGATTAGTGGATGTACACATCCAGGCAGCAGTTAAAGGATCTGAGTGACGCTGGTGAATGATTTATTCTGAATGTGACCCTGTGCAAAGCTGGCTTTGCACAGCCTCGCATCCTCAACTAGATCAGTCCCTCATCACCACAGCTAATATAGTTGTGATGAAATAATTAGTAGCACTTAACCTTTCATTTAGATGCCTTCTGTTTTAAGTGTTGTATCACATGAAAGCTGCTTTAACTGAGTTCTGATAAAGCAGAAGATGAATAAAGGAAAAAAATAGATATATTTACCCTTCTTTACCCTTCCAGGACACATACTTCTTCACCAAACCACACCAGATACTTCCTCTGTCTAAATATGACCCTTTCCCCTGGAATTCTATTGTTTAGATCTCTAAGTGGCCATTGAGATTCTTAGGAAATTTTAGATTTGTTGTTTTATTGAGTAATTTAAAGTCAGTTTGAAACAATTTACATTGGTGTCTAAAATGTTTGGAGCTGAACATTTCAGTGAAGTGTAACCTTGCTACTATATTTTTAACACCACTTAAAAAAGAATACAAGAGGTTCTTTATTCTCTTTTCTGATAAGTTGAACTCCAGAATGAACGGTCTTCTTAAGCTGAAAAGAAATTATCATTATCAATTAAGAGAGAGAAAGAAAACGTACCGCAGGCACCAACTATGTTGGGTTATCTTTTGTCCCTGCTGCATGCCTCAGTGATCAGAGTGTACAGTCATTATGTTCAGAGGTAATTAAGAGAAAATTCTGCAGCAGATATCATCTCCAGCAGCAGAATTTCAAAAGAAAGTCCTTCCTTTGCTACCATAATTACCTAACTTTACAAGTCTAAGAACTGTTTTTTTGAAAAAGTACAGAACTTATAAACTTTTCCCATCATCTATGAGAGCCAAAAATCAGGATTAAACGGTCTAAATAACACTGCAGATTGGCAATGCGAGAGCCCAGTGGAAGCCGTCTGTTTTCCGCCGATCAACACGCAGTTTTCAGGATTTTAGAGCAAGCATTAAACATTGTCCCAAAGCCCAGATGACACAAATCAATCAGAGTGGAGCCCTGAATGTGTCATCAGAGATTTCTGAGAGTCCTCGTGCCCGAGGTCTCTGTTGGTTCTTAAATCTCTGCATTTGACGCTAATCCTCTTTCACATCCTACTGAGGCCAAGCTCTGTTTGGAATATTTCTCCGGCACAATGCTGCATCTGACATTCTGTTTCAGCTGCATTCAGATCTTTTTCAACGTGTTACACCATTGCTTCTCATCTGCTTCGGTGACTTAGAGAAATGGAAAACCAACCAACGATTTCACATTTCTGAGCTGCATGGAGGTGAATCACTACGAGAGCTTGAATACTGTCTGAATTAAGATAAATAAGTCAAGCGGAGCTGCAGAACATCTTTCCAACCTGTCAACTAACATTTTACCCTTTGGAAAATCCCAGGCTACTGCCCAACTGCTGCTTAGAATCAGGACAATCGCTCAATGTTAAAGAGAACGATATAAAGCTTA